TCTTGAAGTACATTTAGCTGATAATACTAGTAATACAATGATACAAGTTTCTTAATCAAATAGTCCTGGTTGTTGAGATATTTCAGTCATAGATAAAGTAGCGGTCTGGTTAACCCATATTGATCCATAGAGCCACCCTGGTGTAGATTTAAGAAGAATAAAGAAAACATGAATAGACCTCCTGCTCACCACATCTGGAGTTTTAGCTGAATGTTCTCAATGGAAACCAGAGAAATACCATAATAAAAAGGCAGGCTATTTATATGTGTTATAAATACTGTGCAAATACCTGGACCTCAAACAAGACACTGAAACAACTCCATACAAACTCCTGTGGATTTCACTGTGACTCACTGCACTGTTACATATTTATCCTCATACTCACAAAGACCACATCTGTCGATATTATGCTGCAAATACACAATCTGCTTTTAGCTACAGCAGCAGCCAATGAAGAGGATTTGCTCGCTCCTTTGCCGATGCTCTCATTAAGGATCGAGAGGAGCCGGCCTCTCACCTCGGCGCTCTGGGGAATGAAGTCGTCTTGAAAAAGTGACATTACATGCAGTGCATCTGTGTGAATATGCACAGAAGGCCTCATCAATGGATGTGCTAGTGCTCTTAAAGTTGCTCTGTCGCACTATCATTTCCAAGAATTGGCATGATTTGTATCTGACTTATAGTCTTTATTTTGTGTGGTTTTGGTCAAACATTATGTTCATCGTGTTCCTATTTGTGATAAGTGATTAGTATTTTAGTATCTACCTGTATATTGTAACAGCTGTATGAGACAGAGGCTGGTTTGATCCAGTTGTCAGTCAGAGAAGGAAAATGTACAGGTTGCCAACTTTCAAATGGCACAATAACAAGCTGTGAAATTCAGACAGCCACTAAAACAGACCGCTGAAAAACAAGGTTTATGGTTGCTAAATGCTATTAATGTTAGCATGAAAGGAAAGGGAAATATTACATGTATTACATTGAGTTTTTCTGCTTTGTTTTCCAATCAAATCTGAACAGAGGGACATGAACACACATACTTTTACATTCAGAATAACACTGACCTAGGACGTCTTTTTCAAGTTTTCCGCACCATAAAAGTAATCTAGTGATAGTTATCCTTACTTCTATGTGACACTGCAAATAGGAACTGCTAATAGCTCAACTGGCCTACTTTTAACAGAGCCAATTTTCCAAAATGTGACTATAAAATGTAAGCCCCAAAAAAACCTTCAGCCTGATTGTCCAATGTCCAACAAAATTCTCTTTGAATTTACTCAAAATGTTACTTTAGTGCGGTACTTGAGTAGATGCACTCACGTGTTGCTGCTTGAATGAGACAATACAATCATTTAGGGGTTGAATAACAAGCTACTTTCCCTAACAAACTGACCTCTTAACACTGATTTAGGAGAAGAAAATAGGCACAAGGCTTACTTCCATTAATAAAACCGCTCTCAATAAGTAGTACCTGCCTGCACTTAGAGCAGGATCGTGCGTGCCACATGTGAGCAGCACAATCACACTGTTGTACGCCGCTGCCCCCGGGCAAAGAGGTCCTAATGGCACAGCTGACTCCTTGACCAGGAATGTCAAGTCTGCAGAGGCCTCCCACATTAAAATAGCCAGTATGTCCTGTCAGCACACCCTCACAGCGCACACATGAGTGCCTAGCAGCTGCCAATTTACTGAACTACTGAGTGGGCAGGGGGGGGGGGGGGGGGGAGGCGAGGAGAAAAGGTCCGAGCAGAGAAGAAGGAGCAACAACAGGAGATCAGCACGTGGAGGGAGATCATGTTACCCTGAAGCCTTCTTCTTTCCCCCCCCCCCCCCCCCCCCCTTTTCTGCTCCTCACACCAGAGTCAGGACACAAGTTTAGCTGTATGTTTTCACACAACATGTTCATCTCATCTTCAGAGAGAAAGGAGGTGGTTATATATAGCAGAACGACCAGGACTAACCAAGCTCATCCCTCTGATTTGACACTGGATGTTAGAACAAGCTCTCGTTGTGTGGAGCCGTTTCCTGCTGACAGTCTTTAGAAACTTTAGAGACAGCTGCTGCTTCACGCTAAACTCTCTGTGTGTGTGTGTGTGTGTGTGTGTGTGTCTCTACAGCAACTGTAAAGCAAATGTTCTTCATACTCTGCATACATTGGAAATACGAGGCCTATTTGAACCACAGTAGAATTCCAATTAGGGCTGCTACGAACAATTTAGCAGATTATTTTCGGATTAATCTTCTCCTTTTATAATTCATCAATTTATTGTTTTTTGTTTAATCATTAGTGCAAGACACATCAACATTGACCTTTTTGCTGAAAATATTATGAGAGCGGAATTGATATTTATTTCATCGTTATTAAAGTATATCAAATAAAAGTAGTGAGAAAGATTCACCACAATTTCTAAGTTCACCTCTTCTTTTCTCTCTGTCTAAATACTCTAATTAAGATTCATACAGTTACCAAATAATAAGCTGCATTTTAATACATGCAGTACTTCCATTTGTAAAGGAGTACTAAAAACAGATAAGGCTGAAAATATAACGTATCTGATCTCAAAGTAATATAAAAAGGCTAAATGTGAATTCACAGAAAATGCATTTGCAACAATGATAGTTCACTATTTGTTTTAAATAAATTACAAGGGTTTTCTTGCTACTCTTCTCAGGCGTGAATATTTACTCGCTATGTGTGATTGTAAGCAGAATATCTTTCGGTTTTGAACAGTGGGCCTGACAAAACATGACTTTTAAAGACTATTCCAGGCTTAAGGAAATTGTAATGGAAATGTTCACTGCTTTCTGACATTTTACAGACCAACAGTTTAATCAATAATGAAGACAATCGTTAGTTGCAGCATCAAACCAATTAAATATGTGGTTGCAGTCTATAAATCCTCACACTGACCTCTGAGGTGAAAGCACTTTAATCCTGCACTGGATTTGATACGGTTGGATTTCCCAGTAAGGATTTATATGTTCCAGTGAATCACACTACTTTACTCCAATACAACACTAAATGGCGACATTTAGTATACAAATTTAAAACAGATTACACAAACTGATGCTGTTTGCAAGTGGACGGTTTTAAAATCCAATCATTTATGGGAATTACTTCCAACTTGTAAAGATTTCCTGATTTTTTTTAATGTTTGAAATCATAATAACCTCAATATTTGTCAGTGTTGGAATGCTGGAGGATAACATAAGCAAGCTGAATGACTTAAGAGAGATGTATCAGACATTGTAATGACTAAAGGATTCATCCCGTAGTCAAGAAAATACCCAATAACAATAACCCACTGCTTACGTTCATATTCTGGCTGCAGAACTCATAGATTATATCTGTAGGAACACAGGGATTTGAAAATATACAACCACAACATCAGGTATTGCATTTATAGTTTTTTTAATTAAGGAAGTGTTATACTTTCATTCTAGGAAAAAAAAAAAATCTGGAGGTTTCAGTCACAACTTTGTTTTAAGAAATTAACCTTTTTATTATTATTTTTAGACTTGGAATTCCTTTACACAATACATTTTCCTTTATACGTATTTCAAAATATCTTTTGCTGGTTTGTTCAGTAATATGTTTTCCTATAAGTAGAATCTCATTTCAATATAGTTCTCTTTTGAAAAAAAAAAAAAAAAAAAGAAGAAAAACATCCATCAATTAGTTTCTGTCCAGGGTCTTCACGTGTTGGAAGATGTTGAAAGTTACGTCAGAAAGTGGCCTGTGGCTGGTTGTCAGTTCAGCTCTGACCGTGACAGAGAGGCTGATGGGAAAACTCATCGCTGACGCTCTGCAGTCCGGCAGAGCTGGAAGGTCAGAGGAGCTTTTCGCTGAATCTGATGCAGCGCCCCCCTCCGAATGCCGGATATTTGGACCCTTGTAGTGACATGTGGGAGAAAATGAGCAATAGAAGTCCTTGGAGGGGGAACAAGAGACTGTCCTCTCTCCACTTGTTGGCTGGTTGTTCTCAAACACCAGGGATGCTCTGGTGTGAGGAAAGTGAATCTTACTTTAAACAACATGATTTAAGCTTTAAATATATTGCCAACATTGTATGTATAACATAAAACCCAGCTGATCTGCACTGTAATCAACTACAGGAGTCAAAGCTTCAGTTTAGTCTGCAAGGCCCTTGTTGTTTGGGTTTAAAGATAATCCTCTCAGTAACTTCCCCCTAATATTTTGGGTAATCTTTTCGTTTGACTGCAGGCTTCTGTGCTATTTGACGGCTGCTGGTGTATCTAATGCAAAAATCCACTGCAGCTAGCTTTCTATACATCCTTCTCAGGTTCATCTGATTGACTTGCAAAAATCCCACAATCTGCCCTGGACTGGAACAGGAATACAATGGATGCTAGTTCTCCCCCCTTAAATTGGAGCAAGGAAAACATCTTAAACAGGTTGACTCCTCACTCTTTAAATATAAACTATGTTGCAAATAGGAAAGCATTCATTGGCTTCATTTCTAGTTATAAAAACCAATTTGCTGGTTTTAGTAGGTTCTCTTTTTCCTCTTTATTACAATAAAGCACTCTTTTTTTTTTTACCAATGAGACTATCTCATTTACACATTTAGTCCACTTGTTTTTTTCACTTTCAGATTCACATAATCACTCCAACCCTCAACCCTCCAACCCTTAGGATAATACACCAATAATTCCCTGCACATGTACTTTTTTTTTTACGCCACAAAACTTTAGTAGGCTATTACAGCACGATTTGTCATGCACTTTGTCATTTCTGCTTTTTCTCTTTTATGCAAAATACCCCCCTTTAATTGCAGATCTGTCATGTTACTTGACTAACAGCTGTTTTATTTTTAAATTGTATCAGTCGTCGTCCACTTCGTCTCCCTCGGACTCGTCTCTCCTCTCGTACGTTTTATCCTTCTGCCTCTCCTGGATCTCCTTCATCTCCTCGGCGTATTTGCTGAAAGCTCCTCCAAATTTGCTCCAGGCTTTGAACGGGATGGTGATAGAGTTCCTGTAGCTTGGCTTCACCTCGCTCACACGCAGGAACACTCCGTATTTGTTGGACCCGACGTCGAAAAAGAACCGCTTGGAGTCCACCATGATGGAGGTGCCTTCGGGGAGCTCGCTGTAGCCCCCGGCGGCCATGCTCCCGGCCAGCTCCTCGTCGTCTCCCCCGTAATCATCTATGAGCTTAGCAAGGGCGTCTCTAAACTCTATTAGCCCCTGGGCAGGAAGGGCTATGGTCTGGCCGGACAGCATGCCGCCCGAAGGCCCCCCGACTCCATAGCCAGGGCCACGGTTTACGGTCTGCCGGATCCGCAGGAACCTCCCCCGCTGGTTCTCCTTCAAGTCCAGGTAGTACTTGCGGTTTTCCCGGACGAGAAACTCGCTCTTCAGAGCTCGCCTGGGCCCGCCGTCCTCCCCAGAGGTGGCCTGGGCGATCTGCTCCGGACTGCTAGGCCCAAGCTGGGCGTAGTGCTCGATGAAATCCCCGAGGTAGTCGCGGAACTCCGCCGCCACCGACAGGGAGAGGGTCAAGCGACTCTTGGAGCCCCCGGCCCCTACCTCGGCGATTTTGATGAATCTGCCCTTGCTGTTTTGCTTGACGTCCAGATAGAAGCGCTTGTTCTGGATGTCCAGGCGCTTGGACGCTAGCTCCTGGGTCTCCTGGTCCCTCTGGAAGTGCTGGAAGCCGCTTCCGCTTCCACCCGCACCCGCACCCGCACCCGCACCGGCACCGGCACCGCCACCGCCACCTCCTCCTCCCCCGCTACTACCACCGCGCTCACTCCCGCTGTCGCCATCCGCCATCTTCAGCTCCACCATTCGGCTTCTGCCCCTCCGTCCTGCGTAGCTGCTTTCTGGGTTGCGCTCAGCCTTCACGCTCATTGTCGGTGCACGTCAGGGAGCGTTCCAATTGGCCCAACGATCTGCCACTTCCGCGTTAACGGCTCTTCCATTGGTTCGTTGATTTTGTCCGTCACGCCCACATGTCAAATCCAGTATTAGCCATTGGCTCAGATTGAGGTTCCGTTTGCGTTCTGTTTTTTTTTATCCACTCTCCATCTGGTTGTGAAATGTCTTTGTTGTTATGACAAAATATGATGAAAAATATGTTTTCAATGTTGGTAAAATGTGTCGACATACTTTGTTTTCCTACCTACTCCAAGTAGATATAATTTGCCGGTTTCTAATAAACTATTCTGTGATTGTCTATTCTTGCCAGTGGTGGAAGAATATACTTAGTAAAAGTATTAATCCTACAGTGTTAAATGCTCCATTTCAAGAAAAGGTCTCACATAAAAATGTCACTTACTGGCTGTAATCTGCCAAATAAAGTTTCAATTACTCAACTACTTCAATTTCTGGTGGTATATGATTAAATTATAAATTACTTGGTCATTAATACCCATGCGTGAATGTTTAGTCCATCTCACTGGGGAGGCGGAACTCATTCAAAGTAATGAATATTCAGTTGGGTAGTTAAATATATAATAATGCATCATATTTTAGAAGCAAGTCAAATATTTTACTAAAATAAAAGTAGAAATCCCACAGTTAAGAAATAGTTGTTGAAGTAAAAGTCCTGCATTAAAACAATAATAATATATAAATAAAAGCATTGGCATCAAATAAAAGTACCAAAAGTTATTATTATGCAGAAAGTCCCATTTCAGACTTATATACCCTTAAATTATGTATCCATTAATGTGTAGATCATTTTAATGTTGCAAATATTTGAACTATTTATAGACAGCTTGTGAATTTACCAACATTTCTGTAAATCTATAATATATCAAGAAGAAAAAATTGCATACAAACGCCACTTTCTATGTCTCTTTTATGGTGCAGAGAATAAAATCACCTGAAGAAAAACATTTGTTATTTCTAAAGGAAATTATTCCTTATGGCCAAAAAGTCGACTCCTTTTTAATAAATCAATGCAGAGACGATACAAGTTTGTTTTCTTTAAAATGTGCTCAAGTTTCCTTGATTTCATGATTATATTTTGTATTATTAATCTGTATCTGCAAAGTAACCATGTTTTAAATCTTGTCGAAAAGAAGTATAAAGTAACATAATATGGAAAGGTAAAGGAAGAGCACCTCAGGATTAAGTTCAGTACTTCAGCAAATGTATTCAGTTACTTTCAGAGCTGTATACTACAGTATCCTTGCACTACCTATATCTGTCCACAGATGGCAGCATTGTCTTATTTGGCTATCAGGTACATATTCAGGTGGATTTCCTCACAGTTGGATTTCAGCTACAAACCGTTAAAGGTGGGGTAGGTACATTTGAGAAACCGGCTCGAGATACACTTTTTGTTATATTCCATGGAATGCTCTTAATATCCCGATAGCAATGAATATCTTAAGTGCTTTGACAAAAAATCCATAAAAAAAATTCATCTGTGGAAGCCGTGGTACTGTAAAAAGCACGACCAATCATTTTAGCCGGGCCGGCTAAAATAACTGGATGGCCTACCTGCCTGTCAGCCTTCCATCTGTGCACAAACTTATCTCGTGCCCTCATTGGTCATGTGCGCGTTCGTGTGTGTTGGAGGAGGGGCTCTGTAAGGAAGTGGCAGATTTTTTCCGGCAGTGTATTTTCAAATTCTAGCGTACTCGAGCTGGTTTCTCCGAAATTACCTACCCCACCTTTAAAGGTATAGGGTAGAATCATAGACTGGGTAGAATGGAGAAACCAGCTCGAGTGCGCTAGAATTTGAAAGTACACAACCGAAAAAAATCTGCCCCTTCCTTCAGACTTCCTTACAGAGCCCCTCCTCCAACACACACGAACGCGCACATGACCAATGAGGGCACGAGATAAATTTGTGCACGAGATGGAAGGCTGACAGGCAGGTAGGCCATCCAATTATCTGCCGCAGGCCGAGGCAGATAATTGGACTTGCTTTTTACAGCGCCACGGCTTCCACAGATGAAATGTTTGTATATATTTATTGTCAACGCATTTAATGTATTCATTGCTATCGGGATGTTAAGAGCATTCCATGGAATATAACAAAAAGTGTTTCTGAAGTGAATTACCTACCCTACCTTTAAGTCCTCTTCTTCTAAAAAAAAAACCATGACATTCCCTGATCCATTACCAAGAAGTCGACCTCAGTGTCCTAGAAGATGATAGCTATGGAAAAACACTGTTTCTCAGTAATTGTGCAACAGGAAAACCATAAGCCGATTTTTCAAATGAATCCAGGGAATTTAACACACATATTGAACTGGGACAAATAGTTCTCCCTTTGGTCTGAATCTGGAACAAATATTGTATAAACATAAAAGCAGAAAGGAGTAGGTTATTATATGAATCTCATTAGAGGATAATGAGACTTTTTTTAATACATTATGTCAACATGTACACATCAAACCACAGAGCTGATGTCAAACCAACACTATCTTCATTTTCAATTGGCACACTTTGCAACCAGTGCATACAAGTGATCATCAACTACCATTATACAACAATATTCCTTAGTAAGAAAAAGAGGAGTCCCAATAGCCCAGTATAGTAAAACACAGCTGCATTGATTTTGAAGTGTTAAGGTCATATATAACATGGAAGCTATAAAAAAGTGAAGGGCTTTTTAACAAAGAAATTGCTGAATTGCCATAAGAAAATTAATATGGAAAACAGAAGTTGGACTAAAATCCAATAAAAGATGCGTGTCCTACTTTTCCAGTGTAGCTACTAATACAATGCTGAATTAATTTGAAGTCATTAAGTCACAGGACAGGGAAGCTAGTGAAGATAAACTACACCTTTTAACCACAGGATACAGTTGCATAACAATGTTCATATAAAAAAACAGTAAGAACAAAAAACAAAAAAAAGGTGTGTCGTACATGTCCAGTGTAGTAATGATATCTGGCACATGACAGGGCAGGAATTGAAAATAAATGCAATTTTCACCAAAAACAATGCTACCAATGCTACCATTAATTCTGGTATTCATATAAAATATAAGGTGGACTTACATACAATACTAAATTCACGCAGGAGTGTAAAACAGTGTGTGGTTGTTGTTGCACAGTACTTACCTGCTCGAGCCTCATCCTGTCTCGTACACCTCGTCCCCCTGACTCTTCTTCAGGTCCAACTTCTTTGCTTGTTTATTTCCAAAACGATAAATAACCACACGACCTCTGTCCCGGTATGACCAGTCAACAAACAGCAAGAAGTCCTCACGGAAGTTTAAAGTTGCTGAAGAATTCCCGACGGAGAATCCAACCATTGGCATCCTCATTGTATAAGTTAGCATGTAGGTTAGCCACACCCAGCATGCACCTGCTGGTGACGTAGCACTGTAGGTGTGTTTGATTTGCATCATATGGGGGTTGCATTATATTAGTGTTTTAAACAACCTTAAGCCTGTTCAAAAGTACAATTTGAAATTAAAGTATGTCATTATATAGTTTAATATGATAAAAATCCCCCAAAGTAGTAGGCACATATATAGTATAGTAGAATAAATATATAATATTTTTCTATTTTTAGATTATCTTTTTTTTGTGAATTAGAAATAGAAATAGAAGATTAAATGTTTCTGTGTCATTTTATAATGTAATTTATAAAGATCTATTTATAATACATTTGAGATACAATTTGATTTAGTAATACATATTTATAGATATAAAATAATACTGAGATATACTGGTAATATGTAAACTGTTAAACAAAATTGAGTTGAGATCTAACCACCCATATCAAGTACAAGTCCCTTAAGTTAGAGTACTGAGGTAAGTGTACAGAGCTAAATTACACCCACTTTTCCTAACTATATTTTTTCTTCCATAGGTTCAGATTAAACAAATGAGATGACATGTTAATTTTAATAAGGATTTTATTTTAGCAATCTGATTTCACAATGACAAAACAAACACAAATCAAATAAAACAACTTCATAGATTCAAATTTAAATATATCCAAACTATACATCAGTGAGAAGCAGAGATATACACACACAAATCAAAATATTGCACACGCCCTGTTAAAATCACGGTTCAAGCTTTAAAGCATTGCCTGTGTTCCTTATATTTATATTAGCATTGATCCTATTAGGATAAGATGAATACAATCAATAACATCTCATTTTGTCTGACAAAATATACCAGTAGATATTACAGTAGCTACACATCTTCAGTGTCAGTAATACTGAGGGTAAGCTGAGTAGGATCCCATTATCTGAGATGTGGCAGACGGCAGCATGACTCCAGGGAGGCTGCTGTACTGGTAGAAAGAGTCCAGGGGCAGAGAGGTGACGCTGGGCAGAGGGGAGCTGTAATGCAGGCTGTGTGGGTGGATGTAGGAACCAGCGGCTTGGACGTCCTGGGCTGCTGCTGCAGAGTGATATCTGGGGTAGGGTCCCGATCTGTAGGCCTGCAGCTCGGGGTAATGCATGAACTGAGAGGCGACGTTTGCCTGGCAGGCGTGAGCCAGGGCGTCCTGCACCGTCCTCTTCAGCTTCATCCGCCTGTTCTGGAACCAGTTTCTGATCTGAAGAAATTAAGAAGAAGAAGTCTCATTAGACAATGTTTTCACTCGCAAACGTGGGTAATATCATAACAAATAAAATAAAACAAACAGCAGTAAATTAATTTAAAAAAAAACAAGTACAATAAATAGTCTCCAAAAAAGCCCTACACGTAGCTCTCTTAAATGATTTAGCTACAATACTTTATATATTAATTAATTTGGTTTATATATGTATATTTCCAGGTTTATTTATGGATTGGGTTTTAAAATACTGTAATAAAGCCATGTCATGTGAAAGTCTTTAATTTGCAGACAAATAATGCTAAATAAAGTAAAAATAAAACACTAAGGAGATGACCTAAGAACCTGAAAAAGCTGTCTCGAATATGATCTAAGGATTTTTACCTGTTTGTCAGAAAGGCTGAGCTTCTTGCAGAGCTCGGATTTGTCCTGTGTTCCCAGGTAAGCGTTTCTCTTGAAGGCCCTCTCCAGGCTACTGATCTGCTCTGCTGTGAAGGCCGTACGGGGTCTCCTCCCTGACGGAGGGGATGCCGGGGGGGTGGAGGTGCAGTCAGTGGGGGCCGAGGGGGAGAGGGAGCGACCCCCTTCACTCTCGTAGCCGGATGTTTCCTCCTCTGTCCCGCTGCTGAAGCCTTCCTCGGTTACTGCACAGAGGACATAACAGAAGAAATCATGTTAGAATTATCCATTGATAACATTTTAGTAAAAACTACTAATACTAATACTCTTCATGTTCAAAAATCCTAATTTGTACCTGATGCTGTAAGAAAATTGGTGGAGTATAATAAAAAAAAAAAAGAGCTATAAGCTATGTGCAAATACCTCAGATTTTGACTTAAATATAGCACAATATCAATGTGTACTTTTACTTTACATTACAAATTAAATTCCTGCATTTAAAATGTTTCTGCAGTTGTTATCAAATTTAGATCCTTATTAATGTGTTTGTTGAGAAATATAAATCCTGGTTTCTATAAAAAATAAGATATGAAATCTGTTCAAATAGTTTTAATATCATAAAAAAATGCTATCCTGGTTACAATCGCAGACCAACTTGGCACATTCATAAACATTCAACATATCCTTATACCTGTTTAACATCACACTGTCTTATTGAATGTTTATAAGCTGAACATACATGTATGGGGGTATTACAAACATGTTTTGCCTTAAATGTATAGAAGTAGAATTATAGAGTGGCATAACATGGGAAAACTCAAGTTAACACATAACTTCTCATGGCTGGACTGAACATACCTTGATTATTGTGGGAGGTTTGGTGCTGTAGACTGATTGAATTGAGGCCCTGGTTTCTGGTTTCTTGCTGCTCGGGTCCATTTTCGGACTTCTGCCTGCAGTAAAAGCCCGGCAGACTCTCTGAATGAGTCCCACAGGCGGCGGGTCCAGAGGCTGAGCTCTCTGTGCCGGAGGACTGGCTGCTCTGGGCCATCCACTCGATGGAAAACTGTCCTCTCATGGCTGCAGTGTTGAAGTTTTGTCCTGGAAAAGAGTAAATCCTTGTGTTTGGTGAAAGCAGGTTTTGAGTCCTGGGTGCAGAGGAAGGTGTGCTGGTCTGTCCTGAGAGTTTTAACTGGCCCTCTTATCAGAGCCTGTCTGTATTTATAGGAGGCTTCAAACTCCCTCAGCTCCAAGATCAAAGCACACATCCTCCCGTCCCTCCCACCCTCCCCTTCTTTAGTTTTCACAACTGGAGTAATTAAGACGTCTCATTCAGTCTCAATGAGGCTGTTACAACAAGGCTCCAGTGAGTCTGGGAAGGACCCCCCCCCTGCCACCTCCCCTCCTTCCTGCCTCCAAAAAAGATAATAGACTCACCTCACCCCAAACTGTCTCCATCTCCTCCACAACCCAGTCCTTACTGTAAATAAATAACCCCCCCCCCCCCCTTTATTTGACAGTTTCAGTTTGATATTTAAAAATCACTGTACTGGGTCTCTAACGGTCTAAGATATGTTTTTTCTGTCACCCGACATTTCTGGTAAACTTACATAAGTAAAAGTGAATGGATTAAAGGGAATTTCAGTCATTTTTAAAGCAGAAATGTTTGTTGGTTGTTAAAAGCTAAATCAAAGGCTTATGCTTTCTTTGTATGTACATTTAATATATATTGGTTTAAGCTATTGGTCCAACAGAGAAGTCTGACTGAGAATGTAATACATCATTCTGGCAAATCCCAATGTTCATCAAAGTGAAGAATATAGAATTAATTTATTGTTTTAGGATAATCCTTGTGCTGATTTAAAAAGAAACTGTTTTCTGGAGATTCATTAAAATAAAATAAATCATTATAGCCTGATCCCTGATGATGATCTATTGTCATTAATCACACTTCAATGTTCATAGAGTGCTTAACTTAACAGTCATTACTTAAAACATGTAATGTAACTCCATTTGAAAAGGAGTCTTAATAAGCAACATAACAAGCAGTGAATGGTTTAATTTAACAGCAATGGCTAATCCAGGATGATCCCAGATTAAAGGCAAACTGCCTGATATGACGTGATGGTAACAAAAGATTAACCTGTGACAGGTTTTTAGGTTATATTTATTTTTAATTGATCAGGATTAAGGTAAATGATCCTACGATGATCACTCATCACAATAAATATGATATGTGTAATGTTGTGGAAGTAGAAACAGACCTTTATAGAAGTTAAAGAAATACTCTAAGCAAGACTCTATAGAAACCTCATATTTAACACATAAAATACAGATTTCAGAGTACTGAGTACTAGTATTTAGGACTGTCATAATTTAAGGGAGGAAGTTACAAATTGTAAAATGTCCTGATAAAAGTCCAGCATTACAAACCTCTGTAAACTCCTTTATCACTTCAATTACTGAGTAAAACACAAGTATCATCAGGAAAAACTAATGAAAGTAGAAAAATGACTCTCTAATTATGTATTAAATTATTATAACTTATACTAACTCATGTGTTACATTTGAGTGTTTTGGGGGAAAAGGACACTAACTTCCTACTAGAGTATATTATAATAATACATGAATTATGTCATCAGAAATACCGTTATGTTATTAAAGCTTGTTGAAAATGTAACCACAGTGGCAAAACTACAGACATCAGTACTCTGATCCTTTACTTAAGTAAGAGTAGCTGTAAAGTACTTCCTATACATAATGGTAATAACCTACTCTGCAGAGCCTCAGATCATCTTAAGCCATTGTGTCACTTTCAATGCTAAAATGGGGATTTGGGGATCAAGTTAAAGTGACTGATAAGTAACTATCTGCAGAGGATGATCCCACATGGCTCATCATCATCACCACCCGACCCAACCCAGGACCTGCATGGACCCGAGTCTGTCTCCGCGTAAAAGGGCAGGCAGGCCGGCGCTGTTTTGTGTGCAAATGGTGCGTGGGCCAAACAATTTGTGGGTTTAAAGGGTTAATCGGGTCAATCCCGTAACGGTGCCATTGATAGGATAATGAGAGTGCTCGGGCCGGTATCTCCTCGCCTCCAGACGCGCCGTCTGTGCGCGCAGCGGAGAGGAGCGCATTGGAGAGCCGCGGTGCTAACAGCTCATCCCAGAGACACTTCAAAGGGGCTCTGCGCTTTGATACCAACACACACCCAACACGAGACAGGACACCATAGACCTCTTCATATCGGCTCAGCTTGAGTAAATACTCCACATTAAAAATATACTCAGAAGATGATGTGGTCAGAACTGATACACTGACTCTGCTATTAAAGTGGTTTCAGTCTACTTACGTCATTCCATGCAGAATACACTGAATTAATAGCAACATTAATTAGTTAATATACTTTTTACCAAATGTTAGCAACATGCTATACACATCAATAAACTAAATAAGTAATACAAATCTAAAGTAATCATATATCACTTGTGTAGCCATTACTTTAGTTTAGAAACATTCTCAGTACTTTTCACGAATTAAAGAATTTGAATACTTCCTCAAATACTTTGTGGAAGTATTCATATTTCATATGTTTTACATCCTTTGATAATTATATGTTTCCATCCAATATTACAATTTCCTTCTGAGTGTTTGGTTTTAAAGATGTGGATACAATTACTCAGATCCTCTTCTTAAATAAAAGTAGCGATACTAGGTCCTGCATTCAAAATAATGTTACAGTAAAAGTATCAGTGAAATTAACTTTTTATAGTAACACAAGTCAACATTCCCCATTAGACTGATTTTATATTCAACATTATATTACTGATACATCAATGTGCAAGCAGCATTTTACTCTCGCTGCTCAAGGAGGTCACTTTATTATTATTCTGAAAAATATGGCACAAATCAGTGGTGACTGCATCGGTGTCCTGCATTATGAAATCCCACTCAAGTAAATGTGCAGATGTTTTACAGGAGAAAATGTTTGACATCATCACGTTCAAATTAACCTTGCCGATGAATGTGTTTCTTAAACGTGATCAGTTTCTAAAATATGAAAGCTGCAGACTTGATATTGATTGATATTGGTATCTGTGGATGTTGCAGTGTTGTCTCCTGTCTGTCTGCTTTTCCATCTGTCTGCCTGTCTGTAACATCAAAGACCTGCAGACCTGCATGTCACAGAGCATGATGGGAGATGACAAGGTAGAGCAAGCGGTCACTGATACCCATCCACACCATTAAAGCACAGACAGACGGAGGGGCAGCGACGGAGGTGACGGAGAGACAACAAATGATCAGGACCCCTTTGAACTTTTAACTGTACCAATCACCTGCCGCTCATTTTTCTGCAACTCTTGTTGTGAGTGCTTGTATCTGATAAATGCACTTTATTGATAGCAAATGGGATCAATTCTTCTGGCTCTTGCAGAGTCAATGGCCAAAAGTGACCATTTAGTTTGAGGTTCTTGTACATAACTTTGTCTTGCTACTTTTTCCTTTTGTTGAACTAATTAACCCTCTTTATTCATACTAATAAGTACTTTTAGATAACCATTTTACAGTACAATCAAGAGTTTTTGTTTTGTCACCTTTGACATCAGTAAGTTTACCTAAATGCCAATTAAATCAGCAAAAGAACATTCATTGAAACTTAGTGTCTAGTTTGGAATTGCTATGTTACAGATGCTTGAGTAACCTAAGGGTTGAGACATTTCCCTACATGGTTTATATAGAATAACAGTTTAAATGTGGCTGTTAAAACGTCTGTATTTTGACTTAAAATGGAGTCATTTCAATATATTTGTAATTGTATTGGTTGATTGGTTTAGTATGAGCTCATGATTATTCTGAAACGTTGTTTGCATTATTGTATATGTATGGTCATTAATATTTCTCATGTAAATATGTGTTTCGTGAAAATAAAAATAATGTTGTGTTGTTGATGTTAAAGGTGGGGTATACGTAATTTTGGAGAAACCAGCTCGAGTGCGCTAGAATTTGAAAATACACAACCGGAGAAAATCTGCCTCTTCAGAGCCCCTCCTCCAACACACACAAACGCGCACATGACCAACGAGGGCACGAGATAAGTTTGTGCACAGATGGAAGGCTGACAAGCAGGTAGGCCATCCAGTTATTTTAGCTGGGCCGGCTAAAATGATTGGTCGTGCTTTTTACAGTATTACGGCTTCCACAGATGAACATTTTTTTATGGATTTTTTGTCAAAGCACTTGAGATATTCATTGCTATCGGGATGTTAAGAGCATTCCATGGAATATAACAAAAAGTGTATCTCGAGCCGGTTTCTCAAACTTACCTACCCCACCTTTAACTGTATACAAGGAAATAAATAGATTCCCTAATGAAGTTGTGGTTTAATTTGAGATCAAATTGTAGGAATGAAACCTTTAAATCTATTAAAATCTGTCACTCGGCAATCACTAAGTCCACCATTAAAAACAGATGTTAGTTTACATTTGAAGGTTTTTGGGATATACACTATTACCGGCTGTAAAAGCTTGGGAACCCTCAGGTGTGCTACGTCACAGCGCAGCCACCAGATCCTGGATTTTAGGGATACATTTAAATTTCACAATCTCAAAACAAGACAAGCCTCACTGTCCCATTTGAAGAGGGGAGTCGCTGTGCCTGCTCGTCCACCAGGACCTGTCTCACTGGCCCCATCAAAGCCCTGGGAGCCTTTGAAGAGGTTGATAGGGATCAATGGGACAGGGGAAGAGGCCTTAACTGACTGTGTTACAGACAGGGCGGGCAACTGCTGGAGACTGCCGGCAATGGAGATCAATGATTATTGGGCGTCATCACCACCCTCATCTGCATAGAGGAATCCATTCAGCATCAGACACATTTTATTTGTAAATTTCAGGTTTTGTTCTGGTTTTTTATGCACATTTGGGCTAAAGTGCAAAAGGATAAGACCGTAAATCATTTATTTATTCTTCTTCCTGTCAAAAGAAATGTTTTACATTTTAAAAACACAAAAAGGAAAAGAGTGTTCTTGTTAATTATCGTTTACTATTTGTTTTAAGCTACGTTAAAGGGGACTTCATCACACAGCTTTCTTATTATTTCAAAGAAAGGCAAAGAGTAAAGTAAAGTATATAGATTTAAAATGTTAAATTGTGGATCATGTAGTCAAGAAATGAAATGAAAGAAACAGATGTGTTTTAAAGAAATATTAGGAATGAATTGAAGGGGATTTATGATGAACTCGTGCAGCGTATTGGTTCGTACATTTGAATTGAACCAATAGCTAGTAAGATAATTCATTTCCAAAAGACACTTCACATTTACGTCGTCTAAAGTAGGAACCAAAAGGCTTGGAGCTGGGAGCCTCAGACAGGAAATTAGAATGTAGAGACAAACTAACACATAGATGTTTTTATGGGATTTGTCGGAAATGAGAAAATGAAGATCATCAGCAGTGTTGTCCTTTCAAACTTCTATAATAAAGAAGAGTTCAACTGATATTTATTTGGGACTCTTTCTATAAGAAACTGATAAAGACGGAGATATAAGCTGATGTATGCAGAGATGTGACCACCATGTTGGGACATGTGTCTC